CTTCGATCCATTAATTTTACTCGTCATAAGGGGTCTTTGAGCCGTGCTTTGTCTGGTCCCTCACCTAGAACCTGTTTGCCATGGGTGACCCTGCCAGGGGCATAAAGCCCCGGACAACTTAGCTCCTAGGATCATTGGGACACACAAACCCCTCCACCACGGTAAGGTGACGGCTCACGGAGGGGATAATTGAGATAATGTTGCACAAATGTGCACACCCCCTTATATGGCTTAATATGGCTGTTCAAAGTTAGCCAATCAGGTTCAAAACTCATGTTAAATACCAGTGAGCCCACACCTGTCAACATTTAAAGTGCACCTGATTAAATTCAAAAGTTCAGCTGTTCTAGTTGGTAGTCGCCTACATCATTTTTTTTTTTTTGTTTCCTTCCTTTCTAGCAGCATCTTGAACATTTTGGACTAATTGATTGCTATTAGGAACTGTTCATAATCGCCTCCACCTTGACTAGGATCATCATGCTTTATTGTATGTCTGGTGTTCTCTTTTTGATGAGCAGTGTTGGTTGTGCCAAATCGACATCAGACCCCCCATGCTTGGGCGATTTCATGATACCACAATGCAACTTCTACAGTGGTGGAAAATGGATAGATGATGAAACTTCACCACATCTGCCCAAATAGGAAAGTGTTTTTTATTAATATTAAGTTGACAGAAGTTACAACAATCTTCAAAATACCATCTACTTCGGTAAACAGGTAAGTTTGATCGACGTTTATACCTGATGATTCTATTCCCCAAAATTTGTTAGAGAAACATCCGTAGAATGAACATTGATGAACTAAGAGCACATCTCTGGAGACAAAAAAAAATGGTAAAACTGGTCGTTTGATTCCAGTTTTTTTCAGATCATAACTAGTACGTGTACTCAATGATACTGATACTAAAATTTCAATTAACACTATGACAGGTGTGTTCAAATACCTTTTTTTTTTTTGGTGACGGACATGATTCACTAATGTGTCCTACAGCCACAGTGTAGCACCAGTTACTGGCAAGGAGGGTTTACTCGTTTTTTTGAGTATCGGTGGCTGGTACTGGCATCCTTGGTGAGTACTGGATAACTTGAAACAAGGCCGGTATCGGCCTGATACCGATAACTGGTATCAGTACTTGCCCATCCCTGGTAAAAAACATTTTTTCAAAGTGCTCTTTTGGTGAATAAAAAGCCAGAAAGCAGCTAAAGCGTGGACCATTTAATGTTTCATATATTTAAGAAGGCCGAGTCACAGTCGACGGTGGAGCAACAATCGTGATCAACAGAACAAAAAAGTGCCAAAGTCATTATTCATCAAAACAAATTAAGAAGAAACAAACCATTCAATCGATGTAGAAAAAAAAAGAAGCTGAGAGAGGTGATGGATAAAGACAGTGCTGAATGTCTTCATCAGTCTAAAATGGTTAAACATGACAGAGGTCCTTTAAGAAAGAATAATATAGCCACTGTTGAGGTTACCTGTTGACCGAAGTGGCAAAAAAAAACAAAAAAAAGTTTTTGTTACCACTGGAGACAAAACACAATTCACAGGGAAGTATTTAAAAAAACAAAACAAAAAAAATTCTCTTTTACAGCCAATTTGAGCGCTGACCTCAAACCAGTAAAAAGTACAACAGCTTCACGATCCTCATGCATTTCTTAACAACCTTTTATTTTGTATATTCATCCGCATATAGTTGAGGAAATGTATCAGCACTTTGACAATTGAAATATTTTTTTTAACTTTTTTTTGTTTGTTTTAGTTCATTTTTTTTGGCTGATCAGCGTCCCTTTGTTGAAATGTTTCACAATAATAACATTTGGCAAAGCTGTGCGAACATGATCCAAACCCACAGCACTAAAACAGCCAGTCCACAAATAGGCAAAGAGTGATTGGCTATTAAGGATATAATATATAGATATATATATATTACAAAACAGTATAACAATATAAATCCCTGTAAAAAGCAAAAACAAACAAAAAAAAAAGTTCACATGGAATGCCGTGACGAGCAAAAGAAGCCATATTGTTTTGTTTAGATGAGCTATTGACGTGGATGGGGAAGTGTTGTCACACGAGGGGTCATGTGACCAGCGGCCTCAGAGTTTGCTGACAAACAGGACGTTGGGATGTCGAATGGAAACTGGTCGCCTCGGCCCACATCCCCCCGTCTTCATGCGGCGCGCTCAGGTCCAAGTTGAACGCACAACGTCCTTGGGCGGAGTTAGGCAGTAACACTGATAGTTGAGTGCAAAGTGGATAAGGGCTGCTTTTTTTTCCCCTTCTTTCCTTCCTTCCTTCCTTCCTTCCTCACGTTAACAGGACGCAAACGCTCAGCAGGATTTGAAAACAAAAACAAAACAAAACAATAAGAGGGGGCAAAAACATAAATATCCCAAAATGTTTGTCAGTATAAAAAAAGTAAGACTACGTTTTTTTTTTTAACTATTTAATCAATAGTCTGGCAAAAAAAAGGCCTCTCGGGGGGGGGCGAAGAAGTGCTTCTTGTAGAAATGAAGTGCCTGGGCGCCGCCGCTCTTCAAACGAGCGACTCCATGCTCTCGGCAGGGTCACACTGGTCGGCCATCACCGCCACCCCGTTAATGTCCGTGTGCATGGGGCCGCACTCTCCGCTAGCCGCCAGGCTCAGCATGGCTTTGTAAAGGTACTGGTACTGATCCTGCACCAAGCACACACACCACACAAAAGAAACACGACTTGAAGCAAAGGTACAGCAAATGCAAAGAAAACATTCGGCCAATAGGTGCTAACATTGCAAATCCATTCACAGTATAGTTTTATCTCCTAGTGTGGTATAGTACAGCCTCATACTATGTGACAGTACAGCATAGCCTAATATTGTATAGTAAAGATTAGAACAGTACAGTCAAATTTAATATAGGTGAGTAAAGTAACAAGCCCATTATAGTACAACTGGGTAGAGTGCAGCACATTTAGCAAAGTATCGACTGGTATAGGCACGTTTCATGCAGGAAAGTACGGTAAATATGTAGAGAGCACTCCAGTTTCGAATAATCAAGTCAATCATTCGTTTAATACAGGTTAGCATGGTACAGTACTAAATCGTTACCATATAGTACAGTGTAGTATTTATTTAGATTAGTAAAGTCTGTAAAGTGCAGTGCAGTAAGGTACAGTGTGAGCAATATACATCAATTATAGTGCAGTCTAGTATTGTGTTATATAGAATAGTAACGAAGTGGCGTGTAATAGAAGTTGTACAGGAGGGTGAAGGACAGGATATCTATCGTCCAAATAAACATTTGATTGCCCTCTGGTGGAAAAAACGTGTACTTGACATTAATGAGCAGCAATTAAGTGGATCCATTCAAAGCAGCATCACACATCATATTTTTCTGAGTATAAGTTGGACTTTTTTTCATAGTTTGGCTGGTCCCACAACTTACACTCAGGTGTGACTTGTACATGTTGCAATTAGAGCAAGGGATACCGTGTTGAAATTTGTTTGGCTGTTGGGATATACTTTTGATGCACTGCCGCCGGTGGTCAGAAGGTAGCGGTAATTGACCAAAAGAAAGTAGAATAAATGAAAGAAGAAAAAGAAATGGAAGAAGGATTAGTATAGTCATGCATTACCGCCGGTGGCTACCTTCTTAATCGCATTCTAACGAAGGTAACAGTATTTGCCAACCACCCAAAAAAGTAGTCATGGAAGCAGACGTAGCAGTCATGGCAACAAATGTTTGACGTATTACTAATTTAGCATGCGGCTTACTTCCACCACAACAGCAGATGTACAGCAGCAAAAGGCGCAAAAACCCACCGGATTCTACCTTTGGCCACAATGTGATGCAGGATTCTACTAAAGCAATTTAAAATTAAAAAAATAAATAAAAAAAAAAAAAAAACAAGGAAAGGGAAAAAAAAATTCTGTAAAAAAAAAAAAAGCAAGGAAAGGGAAAAAAAAATTCTGCAGTTAGAAGCAAAAGTTTTGCTCTGGCAGTCCTTTTTGGGGGCACTCTGAATAACCGAATAACACATATGAACAACTCTGGACGGCTGGGAGTGAAGCAATGTGCGCTTGGAGCATGCCATTTGGAACCTAACTAAAATGTGACTTAGACTTCGGAGTGACATACAGCGGTCCTTTGCTATATTGCGGTTCATCGTTCATGGACCCGCTATATCACAGATTTTTTTTTCCAAGTGCAATTTTGCATGCAGTTTTTTTTTTTAAACAGTTTTCATCCTAATTGACTTCCTGTATTTTTTTACAGCGTACAACCACCCTCTGTGTTTTTTTTCTTCTTGATGATGCATGTTTAACTATTGGTGTCTATTAGGTGATGGAGTGTAGATAAAAAAAAAAAAAAAGATTTCATTATTAGCCTACTGTGAATAGGCGGGTGATTACTGTAGCAAATGACATTAAAACCCGATTAGCTTCACTAAACAGTCAGTCGAACTCATTAAGATCATTAGAAGTATTATTACAATTTCACGCTCCACTTACAATATCGGTGAAGACTCCCGGCCTCATGAGGTTGATCATCTTGGCCACCTGATAGATGTCGACGACACCTTCGTTTTCCAGCTGCTGCGACAGCGTGGTGAGAGCGCACAGCATCCCCGCTGACACCGCGCCGTACCTGCGAGGAGGTGGAACAATCAATCACATGGAGCTGCAAGGGGACGCATCCACTTGGGAGGAAGGTGATGTTTGAAACGCTGCAGGAAGAAGCGGTCGTGTATAAAGTACCTGAAAGCGATTCATGAGTAAAAATACAGGTAAAAAAAAAAAAAAAAAAACTTTGGGAGAAGTTCGTCGCCCTGTTTTAGTGTCTGACATTTGCTGTACTTGAGTATTAAAAGCATATAACATAAAATTCATTTTAGTAATGGAAGTAAGCATTTTTTTTAAATGAGTGGCTAGAATTGTTTTTTTTGTAGCGATGTTGAGGGCAAATGTATTTGTATACATTTTATTAAGTGAGTACATTGGAGTACACGCTGGCAGAAACAAAGCAAAAATGAGAACGTTCTATTTCAGTACTGTAACAGAGAATTTGCAATCTGTTGCATTAAAAAAAAAAAAAAAGCCAACAGATGTTTTGAGGAACCTACTCATCGTGCACGATTGTGGGGCCGTCTCGCGTCATGGCCTCCTCCTTAATGACCCTGATGAGCTCGAAGGCGCTGCTGAGAGGAGCGTCCGGGTTGGGCCACTTGGGGCACTGGAAGTGTCTCACCTCCAGAACGTAGTCGTCCTGACGTGCACGTGTGACGGGAAGAGAGTTACGCGCACGCTGGGCGGGCGGCGGGCACAACACAAGCAGATGAGCGATGCGGGGTACCTGCGTGGCCTCCAGGATGAAGTCGTGGATGATGATCTGCTCCTCATTGGAGAGGCACAGTCTGTCCTTACTTATGAGCGTGACGGTGAAGGCAATGCAGTTCATGGCCTCTTCGCGACTCGGCCAGTAAACAAACTCATCCTCAGCCTGCACAGAATTGTGAAACAAAATAAATAAGTGTGTATGCATGTGTGTGTGTGTGTGTGTGTGTGTGTGTGTATCTATTATGACCCCTACATGGGTGGATGGCCAGTTCAATATTATTTTGCTCCTCTTTGTCTTATCAGAGCAAAAAAAAATCATGGACTGGGAAAATGTGATGTCCTGAGTCACCCCCCCCCCCCCTTTTTGGTTTCTTTACATGATCTCAGACTTTCTAGTGTCTAAATGTTTCTTCAGTTACTGAAAAATGGTTATTTGTTGATTTTTCGGCATTTGGAGTTCATGTTTGCTGAAATCAAAGCGATTTCAATCGGAAGTTACATTTTCATAAATGACTCCTCATTTGATAGCAGCTTTAGAATTCTTGCATCCATTAAACTTGGAACGTTGATGTACTGCCTGCTTCTGCATGAATTTCTTTGCAGGGTGTAAAGATACCCTCCCACAGCTACTGTTTGGATGGGAATTTCTCTGCTATGTACAATCATAATAATTTGGAATAGTGCATATTATTTTTTTTTTCAAACAATACTGTTGTCATTGGTTTGTTTGTTTTTTTCAAAAACATTCCAAAATCTGAAAAAAACGATCATTTGCGTGACAATTTAAGAAAAAAAGAGTCAGTGAACCGGGACTCCCTCAGCAGTCTTCTATTTGTTTAATGTTGTTGCGCGGACACCAGATTCCCGTTTTGACTCGAGTGCAGTGTCCCCAGAAAAAAAAACAAACGAGGTGGATCTATTCGATCGGTTTATCGGCTGCTTACCAGGCCCTGGTTGTCAGGCAACATGACAATAATTTGTGCATTATGGTCCCAGATCATCCGCCAAAAGTCAGTGGTGGTGTGGGGCAAAGGATGCTGGGTAATGATGAACTCATTACTCCGGTAATAACCCTGAGGAGACAAAAGAGCAAGCTCTTTCAAGGCGTGTGGCATGCATTTGGACAGCCAGTGTACAAATGGCAGGGGTGGCGCTCAAGAGGCTGTACCATTATGTAGGACGCATTAATGTAATCAGTTCCTTTCATGCCGGGCAGAGTGGTGAGACCCACCCTCGCTCGCTCGGCTGTAGAGGCAGAAACACACACTTGAGTCAGAAAACCGGACCACTGTAATCACACTGGCCGATAGCGCACACCTTCATTACTGCTCCTCGCTGTTGCTATAGCAACGACAACCTCCATTCTCCCCTGGCCGGGCGCCATGAATGCATTGAGCGATTAATTTATGGGATTATGGAAATAGATTCTAATTTGGGACGGTGAATTGTCTTTAATAATGTACAGCCCGGATACTAGACCGGCGAGATGAAGAAATGCTGCGCGTTTTTTTCTTCACTGTGGACGGTCGTCGCTTATTTATTTATTTATTTATTTATTGTTTGATGAACAAACGAGCAGTGCAAGAACGGACCGAGACACTCACATGGAACCACCGAGGAGTTGCGGTTCTTCTCCTTGTTGCAGTCTTTGTGAGCACTGAAACACTCGGCAAAGCGAGTGTTGCATTGAGTCAGCAGCTGGGGACAGAGAAGAGAGAAGTCAATCGCATGGTGCTTAAAAAAAAAAAAAAAAATCAATCAGACACACAGACTGTGAAACTCACACTGGCGCTTTTTAATTAGTACAATAGACACGCTCCCTGAGGAGTAAGCGCCACAACGGACAACGATCGAGAAGACCTCTATGTACAGCGCAGCCTCGTCAAAGCAATCTATTATGGAATGCCGCTTAACCTCGCAGTCAATCTAATTTGGAAAGAAGTACTTTTTTTTTTTTTTGTATTTCGTTTGTAATTTGGCTGCTATTTTGACAACGTCAACTGAATCGGTTCTCCGCTTAAAGCATCCAGACACCCTCAGGTCAAGTGAGACAAGTCTATTGTGTGTTTCCGGAACCAGAACCAGAACCAAACAAAGTGAAGCAGCATTTAGGCACTATGCTGTCAGTTGGTTGAAATACGTAAGGGCTGACAACATTTTTGTTTACAGCAGCATTCCCCGCAGTCTGTCCTTTATTCTCTCATTTTAATCCTCATTTGCCCGCAATCTTTTAATTGATCTAGGATGACGTTTGCTTTTAATCATGTTACTCTAATTATTTGAGATGATTTAATTAGGATTTTGCAATGTCGTGTTTTTGGTTTCCCTTTCAATGCTTTTAATGTTTGATGTAAAGCACTTGGAATTGTCTCGTACATGAAATCTCCTCAAAATGGACTCAGTGGTAGTTTTGGGCTTGCTTTCTCGTGTTTTTTTTTTTTTTTTTTTTTGGGTGGGGGGGCAGATTTTAGAACCTTTCACCACCTATTGGATGAAAAAACATACAGTTGCGTTTGTTGTTTTTCTTTCTATAAGAAGCCGCCATGCCAGAAGATGGCGCCATAGTCACATCTAATAGGAAACTAATACAGCAGTTGAACTACGATGCAGTGATGCAGGTCAACTGAGAAGAGTTCAAGTTATTTTTTGTTTTTTTGTTTTTTTGTGTGGGTTTTTTTTTTTTATACATTAAATCTTGGAAAGAAAAAATAATCAAGTACCTGGGATTTAATATGTGAAGTCTGAAAGGACATAAATATATCTTTGGGAGTGAATGAGTTTTAAATAAATCTATTATTATTATTAGTATTATTATGATTATTATACTATAGATACTATTATACTGGGGTCATAGTTTTTAATATATTTCCTGTTTGAACTATTAATATCGTCTTTTTCAATACAGTTTGAGAGGCGCATCAATAACTGTCCTCTCCTCGCAGTTATTCACTCTTAGGCAGCAGGTCTCGGTCTCTATCCCCCCGCGAATAAAATGGGATTACTGCTGTTCCCGTACACGGTTTTAACAAGCTTCCGATAAAGAGACCGCCCTCTTTCAGAAGGATAATGCCATTAGGGATCGAGTGACAAGACCACAAGGTTGTAAACTCACCCTGAATTGCTTCTCCAGACGGGTGCGGCCCGCCGAGTTGGGCGTGAGGATGCTGTTGACGTAGCTGTGCAGCTGCCAGGCGGGCACCTCTGTCTCTCGGCTGAAAATGGCCTCCATCAGAGCATCGTGAATGAACACGTACTGCTCCTGAAGGAGAGCAGGAATGTGAAGGCGTGAAAAAAAAAAATAGAGTTGAGCGCCCAAGACAACGGATTAAAATGTTCATGAATGTAAATACATCACATGCGAAGGAAAACAGTGATAACACAAGAGTTGAAAATGTTCCACAAAAAAAAAGGAAATATCCATCAAACTAGAATTTTTTCAAATAGCTTGATGGTGGCAGAGGTCAGACTGGTTGGATCTGGCAGAGAAACATCAAGTTGCCATCAAATAACTACTTGATGCTGCACCAAAGGTGAAATCGAGGTTAACGTATGCATGGGTTGACCAAATTGCACACTGGAAGATTCGAAATACACGCCCACTCTGATGAGTCTGCTTTTGGCTGACTTTTCGATATTAGTGTCACAATTTAGTCTTCATCCTGCCTTGCATCAACATTTAAGTATGCCAGTGGTGATGAAAATGTGTGCGAGGGCGAGGGCGGGAGGGTGGGGAGGTAATTTATGAAAACCCTTTAGGCCACTTCTCAAACAAACTTGACAGAGTGGCGTACTTTTAAATAAGACAGACTTCAAATCCAATACTCTACTGGACAAAGCAACAAAGCCGACAATGCGAAAGAAGGAGGCTATCCCTCCGTTTGCCTTAAATAAGACTTGACTCAGCCCAAAATGTGATCTCAGTAAGTATGAAGTATTAAGACTTTCTCTCCGTAAGCATTTTAAACCATGGATGACCTTTGTCATTGAGAGGTTTTTTTTTTTTTTTTTTTGGGTGGGGGAAGCTGGAGGGGTTCTTACCTCGGTCTGGACCAGGTAGTTGCGCTGTGTACGGATATGTTTAAGAAAGTCCAGGATGCTGACTGTGCTTTTGTCCTTGATTTGTTGCAGCATGCTGTCAATGACAATGTACGTTCCTGTGCGTCCAACCCCTGCACTGAGGCCAGCACAAAGCAATATGAGCACGCTGGTAGGCCCGTCAGCACATTTCCAACGTCTAACGGTCATAATTAATGTTCATTTAAGTAATGGATGGTACCTGCAGTGCACCAGGACCGGGCCCATGTCTGCAGTGCGGGCCGCTGATGAGCGGTTGATGAAGGTGAGGACAGGGAGGGTGTACTCGGGCACGCCCATGTCAGGCCACTGAGTGTAGTGGTACTGGATTACGATACGCTCATTTAGCTTCCCCTTTGGATTCCCCTTCTGACCCTGAAAAATCCACCGCATCTTAGAACACGGTGTCGTGTCTTGTATCGCCGATCAGATCATTAACAATACGGCGCGGGTTGCTTCTTTGATTTTTTTTTTTTACCTTTTTGACTTTGGTGTTCCGTATGAGAAAACGGCGCAGTGTGTAGCAGGCGTGCACTTTGGTGCTTTTCAGCATCACCACGATGTTTCCGTACTGCTCGCTGTTCTCTGTCGGCCAGTACTGGTCACATTTCCTCTGTAAGACACAGCAATTGATCCTTGACCATTCCTGATGTTTGTGACAAAAGCTTATTTGGCTGTAAAGAGGTAATACTGTACATGCAAAAACTGGTCTTAAAAACAAGTCAAAAATAAGAATACTGCTTTTAAAAAAATGAAATCTGAAAGAAGTGAACAGTTGTTCTTTCTTAAAACAAATAAGTGCATTAAATTAGCCTAATAATACCCCACCAATGTGTTGGAGCCAGTGTATTTATACGACCTACATATTCAACATTCCGGTATTTCTCATTTTAACTCATACACTCCCAAAGACGTTTTTAAACGTCTTTTCAGACTTGGTCTAGAATTGGCTGGTACTGAATGAGTTTTAAGCTAAACCTACTCATAACCAGTGAGAAAAATGTATGATAGTTGTAAGATTTTGAACTTGACTTTACCATAGTTGTAACAAAAGCGATGCACAGAATAATGATCAAACATAAAACACAAGACCTGAAACTCAATGAAGCTCCTCAGCTCACTTGAACAGTTCCTTGGCACTTAGATGCCAAAAGATGGCAGTAGAGCACACTATTTTAAAATACAGCCACTCAACTGACTTGAACATAGGCTCTTGGCACCAAGATGCCACAAGACAGAGCCAAAGCTACGTTTATACTGCTTTGGCCTGAACACAAAAACAACTGAGGTTAATTTAAAAAAAAGTAAAGAAAAAGGCTGAACTGCAAATATATGAGTTGTGATTTGTTTCTACGGATACCAAAAAACTTTTAAACCTTTTTTTTTTTTAATTTTACCAGCTTTAACTTTAATCAACTATTACTAAAAAACACAAAGAATTATAGAAATACAAAGACAAAGAACAAGCCTGAAGTATTAAATGTTGGTCACATTTTGTTTTTTGGGGAGTGACTGATCGTTTTAACGGTGCGCGTGTGGTGGCCCACCCGTCCTTTCTCCACGAGGTTTGTAATCATGACAATGATTCCAGTGTTCTGCTCCCACACCATCCTCCAGAAGTCTTCAAAGGTGGACTTCAGTGGACCCTGGGCAGCTATATATGCTCTGGGCCGGTTATAACCCTGACACAAGTCAAAAGATTCATCATTAAAGTGATGCTGACAACACATCGGTGTGGCATGAAGCGCTTGAACTCACGTCGACATAGTTGGCATTGATGTAATCGGAATGTTTGGCGTCTTTCCCAGCCAGCGCTCGTAATTTCACCCGACTGTGGTCATCTGCGGGGGGTAAAAATAAAAATCGGCGATTTATATTTGAACAAATTATTGTTAAAGGGAGGAAAGTAGGTTCGGAAAACATAAGAGGATTCCTCCGCAGTAGACATCATCTCTAATCCCATTTCACAGCAGACTCACAAGCCACAATGTTGATGTATCTGTTTTTGTGCTTGTTGTCAGGATGATTGGAGTGTTCCGCAGTGATTTTCAGGTCGGCTGTGGAGCGTTGGACCTCCTGGGATGGGAGAGCGAGGAAAAACAAAACAAAAAAATAATGGGATTGAATCATTCTTTATTATTATGATTATTTCACTCAACTGTATGATTGAATTTATTGCAGAATGCATGTTGGTGTTATGGATGGGGACATTTCCTTTTCCCCATTGATTGAAATACCAAGCTAATTATTTTTCAATATGTGAGAAAACAGGAGAAAGGCAAATATGAACATGTCATTCTCTGAAAGCATCCAGACAGTCTGGCACACTGGTGTCAAACTCAAGGCCCGGGGGCCAGATCTGGCCCGCCACGTCATTATATGTGGCCCGCGAAAGCAAATCAAAGATGTCAACTTTCATGATACTTCCTAAAATCGCTACCAAAATTTCAAATTCTCATTTGTAATAAATAAGAGTGATACTCTAAGCATTTTCTTGTGATCAAACCCCTCATTACAGTATCTTAAACAATAGGTGAATAAACCGTTAGTCTTGACTTCTTTATATGGTTTCAGTCATAACGGCCGTCCGAGGGAAACTGTAATCAGGCCCGCGACAAAAATGAGTTTGACACCCTTGGTCTAGCAGCTCAATTAATCCTCCAAATGTGTGGTTATGGATTGATGCATTCATTTTGCCTCCCTGGGAACCTCACCCCGCTTTCCACTAGCCGATGCTGTAAAGAACAGTATTTGCAATAAACATCCGTTTCCAAACAGTCCTGGAGTGAAGTTCACTCATTTCCAGTTTACTTTCTGTTTCAATTTCTATCAAGTTGGGCCGTAATTAATAGTGCTCTCTGCTGGCTACTGCAAAGTACTAAAACCCATCACGCCTCCGCAGGTTCAAGACATACACAACATCAACTCACTGATAAGAAAAGAAAACAAACCAAAAAAAAATACAAACCAACCTCAGGTCACTGAATCTCTTTTGCGTTTACAGCTAAAGGAAAAAGTGCAAAGTAAAAATCAAGCAGCGATTTGGTTCATCTATCAGCATCGCCACAATGCTATTCGTGCTTGAACTCAAACAACCTTCTTTTCCTCCTCCTTCTCTGTGTTGTGTTTACATGACAAATGAGTGCATGAGCCCGGCGCCAAACGACCCAATTAAAGAGCACCCTTCAGGAGCGACGCTTTTCGTCTTGTTTCTTAACCTGCTTTCACCCTCATTAACTCTGCGTCTGCCTGTGTGTCTTTCTTCCAAAATATCAATCCAAAGAGAGCAAAGTTGGAGTTGAACATGGCACCATGCTGAAGAGTCTGCTTCACTCAGGGAGAAAAAAATAAAAATTGGGAATGGGGGGCTTCCGGGGGATAATGTTCGGTTCAGGCTGAATGCTCTGGTGCATTTCAAGCTTGTTTCGGTTTGCTGGAGTTGCAGTTAAAGCTCCGGTCCGGACACACCCAGACCTTTTCCGTACATTTATGGAAAACTAGACGACATCGGCAAAGTGTGAGAACGGATGTTGGATTTTTGTAAAGATAATTTGTTCATTTTTATTTATTTATTTTTTGATGATTGTGTTGGATCGTTTTCCTGTGACTTCACACAATAGCCTGTTGGAGGTCGATGTTTCATTTTGTTCCGGTGCTTATTGAGCGTTTCAATCAAGACTACTCATGATTTTAACACAGTGGCCAAACAGATACTGATCATGTGATCAAAAACCATCTTTAGTCGTAGGACACTCGGAAGTCAAAGGAGGATGAAGTTGTTCGATTCGGAATTCAAGGGCACATTTTCTGAAAACGATGCTTTTGTTTTGTAACTATGGCGATGTTAAAGGCAGCATCTTGTCATTGTTGATTTTTCAGCGGTCAACATCATTTACACACTGAAATGATTTCCGACGGCGACAAATGTTTTGAAATACAAAATAAATCGCAGGTCTGCGGGCATCCTTGAATAAATTGTGTTTGACGTGTCCATGACGCAAACTGCATATTGTCAAAATGACTTCTCTGTTTATTCAAAATGGAGTAATATGATAGTTGCTCCTGCATTGGATCTCATTGGCTTGGCTAAAGAGGGATCTGATGGCATGTTCTATATGTGCAATGCTAAAAAATATGAAACGGTTCATTTTAGCGTTTGAACTGTGGAATGTGAACTAAACCCAAGATGTCAAAACTCTTAAGATTTCAAACCATGATCATCAATGTCATCCTTTACACATACAGTACTTTAGACGTGTGAGCATGTAGCTTTGTTTTTTCTTGTATCTCTTTGACATCAACAAGTTGATGCACCACACTTCCTCACTTCGCTTCCTCGGATGGCCGCTGCATCTTTTTGGTCTCATCAAACGATTACATTTATCGCACTCAACAATCTCTCAGGCGACACAATTCAATAGCTGGCAGTATTAGTGGGAGAGGCGCTACTTGTGCTTCAATGTCACTTCCAATCCGCGGCTGAAAATGATTTTTGCCCAACATGGCACGACACAACGTTGATGAATTATTCTGTTGAATTTTTACTCCACGAACGCAATAGTAATCAGTATTTGAGTGTTTTCTACGTGCTGGCACATACAATGTATGGCATCCTTGATTTAAGAATTTGAGAGTTTATAGTTCCCCTATAAGAATAGCCTTTTGTATGAGGAATTTGCACGCCCTTGTCGACCTGCTCTCTGTAAGAAAGACGCATGGTGGCGCATTATTTTCGCAATATGTGCACGTTACATAATGAATGAGAGTTCCAGAGCTGACACGCAATTCGATTCTTTGTGATTCTCGGTCCGTAACTGTCACTGCACGACATGCTCGGTGAAAACGAACACAGACCCTACTCACTACTAATACTAACCTTACTCACGGTCACAAAAAAAAAAAGATAGGACAGCACAAGTAAAACATACGCAACTATGACTACTACTTGTTTGAATTTCCTCATAGTGTAGTAGGATTCTATTCTACTCACTTGGTGTGGCACCCTAAATTAGTGTCCGGTCAGGTTCAACTTGATATTGTCAACAATCACTTAAATTGAGTGAAGATTATTTTTTTTTGCACCAAGGGAAAGATTTACCAATCTGATCAGTAACAAATGAAAGAAAAAACATATACTATAGGTCAACAAAGTCAAATTCCATGTCGCAGAGGGTGCCGTTCAAGTTCGGGCAGCAACTGAATGTGTAGTACAACATGTGAGTTTACCTCAAACTCTTCTGAAAAGCCTTGTAGATTGTTCTTGTAGAGCTCCATGATGTGTTTGACAAACTGCTTGACAGGAATGGCCTCCATGTCATCTACAAGGAGCACAAAACACAGTAAGAAAAATGTTTTGGTTAGATCAAACTCAAATTTGTCGCGGGCCACATTGTAGTTATGGTTTGCCTTGGAGGGCCGTGATGAATTTTGGGAAACCATATAAATGTTTAATCACTTCCACATATTACATACACAGCACACAACATATTGATGAATAACTAGTTTTAAAATCAGAAGTCAGGAACAATGACTGTTATTGTGAATTACTTATGACCATTTGAAATTTTGGTTTCGACTTCAGCAAGCATCATGGAACTTGACATGTTTGATTTGCTTTTGCCTCTCTCTCTCTCTCTCTCTCTCTCTCTCTCTCTCTCTCTCTCTCTCTCTCTCTCTCTCTCTCTCTCTCTCTCTCTCTCTCTCACTCAAAACACAATTTAAAGTCCCTTTAAGTGAAAATAAAAATGTCTTAAATCGGACACACCACAAAGAAGAGTGTTAACAAGCCGACAAAATTTAACTGGAAAAATAAAAAAATCATAAAACTTGCCAAGTATGTAACATCAGGCTTCAATATTAAAAATGAAGACATTCTCTCAGGTTTCAAAAGATGCTGTTTGGAGGCTCACATTGCTCGCTGTTATGTACCCTTTAACAATAATTAATTAAGTCAAAATTGCGCAGGAAAACCACTGATGTGAAAAGGCGTTGAAGTATTTATATAATGGGGGAGGACCAACTGCGTCACTGGGTTTTGTTTTAGCCACGCCTGAAAAATGTTGATTACCGAATGGTCAAAAAATAATTTAATGCTTTACCTCCACCATTCAGTACTCCGTAGTCCTCAGTGCTTGCCCATTTTTTTTTTACGAATTATCTTCAAACATACAAAACACGCTCAAAAACAATTCTCTGAATTTATTTTACCAGGTCTTTGAAGTTTTCTTCAAATAGAAATGATGACTGAAAACTGTCCAGAGAGAAGGAAAAAAAAAACCCCCGGGAAGAACTGCTATAACTGGTGTCACAAATCTCAGTTATTTTGAGCATTTATGGCGGTAGCATCTGCCTCAGTGGATTCCTATCATCTGGAGGTCACACACGAGGGATCTTTGATAAGGTTGGTGGAGCAGCCACACAGGGACAATAGAGCCGTGGGCCCCAGCTGTCATGGCTTCTGATGCTGGCTAATGTTTAAAACGAATGCACCATTGCACCTGGGACCTAAAGGAGCCAACCTGGTCACGTAGTAACGGGAGATTCTTCTTTGCTAACATACCCATTTAGCAATCTGTCCTTCAGCCTTTGAGACGGGTCTCAACTCAACTCAACTGTATTTATAGAGCACTTTCAAACAGCCATCGCTGCACACATAGTGCTGTACATGGAGCAACTAACATATACAACAGTAAAGCAACAAATCAGTAACAAAGACGGTAGAGAGCACCAAACAGTATAACTAAGATCATAATTTGGGTCATGCTGAGTCAAATGCCAAAGAATACAAGTGAGTTTTGAGGCGGGTTTTAAAAGATGGGCAGCGAGGAGTCTGCTTGAAAGTGTTCAAAGCACTCTCATAACATATTGTAAACATTTAAATATATTTCGAAGAGTTATACATTTTAAGGGCCCATTTAGGTCACACCTCTGTGAGTTTCCCATTCCTTGAACTTAGTTGACGCAATTCCACTGCCTGCTCCGTTATTCTGACAATATATGCTGTGGGAACATTACAATGCAAATAAAAGGAAGAAAGGAGGCGACAAGCAATGAAAGTGGAATTTTAATGAGGAGTCGATGGCGACATCAGCTGCGCTTTGTGACTACGATATCGCCGTCTTCAAATGTCACAGAGCTTTGTGACAGAGAAACTTAAGCCTGATATCAACTAGCAGCCAGCCTGTGCTCGGCTGCCGGGAACATTAAAAGCGAGAAGAAGAAAAAAAAAAAAGGCCAGACAGTCCTAGTGCTCAGCTGCAAAGGGACTCCCAGAGTCATTTCACATGTAAATGAACTTAAATTGTGCAAATATGCACATCAAGGTAACAGAGAGAAAGTCATTTGAGAAATGTTTATGGTGATTTGAGAATACTTCCTGAATTAGCAGTGTTATTTTAAATGAGTTCCCCACCTAAATAATGCAATTTAAGCATGCCAACTCATCAGAATATATTCAAGAAAACCTGACATAAAGGTGATAAAATCGTTCTCTTTGCTGCGGAGAACCATGCTGTTTACCTGGTATTGGGATGAAGGGGATGCTCTCATTGGCCACCACCCGAGGAGAGCTGCTCTCCTCAACATAGAAGTGAGCTGTCTGGAAAAACCTCCTGCAGGTACAAAAAAAAAAAAAAAAAAAGATGTCGAGTGAGGTGCCATCAAAACAACGAGCATTGGAATATTGTCTTGAATGGCGCACAAATGCACCACGTTGGACACGACATGACAATTTTGCCAAAGAGGCTACAAGAGAACAGGTAAACAGCTACGAATTGTCACCCTCTCCTCAGGGACAAAATGTGCTGCGTTCAAAGCTTCCACGATGCTTTCAAACCAACATAATAGGAGCACAGTGTTGAAAACAGCCACGCTGCGGAAAATAAGTTATTTAATATTAGAGTCTGCAAGCTCATCCATTTAGGCAACTATACATCCAATTTTCCAAGGCATCTCGTAAAAAAATGATACGTGTTAATTATATTTGGAGCGTCACTAAATTAATCTCCGACAATGAATTGTGCATGCATTCAAAAATGTCCTGCACAATGGACAGAAATGAATGGAAGGTGCGGAGGGGGAGGGGGGCATTTGTAATTTATGGCAGCCCTTAAAAGACACAGAGACAAAGTCGAGTCCTGTCCTCATCAGCCAGCATGGAGTCGCTCTCATTGACACACACGTTTACTAATGACTAAACATACATAGAGCCAATCTCAGAGCCATCGCCACTAAAAAGGTTTCCCAGGTGTGATCCTACCTGTACTTGCAGAGAAGGGTGCAGATGCTAGTCATTCTTTCGGATGGACAGACAACCACAACAAAAAGGCTTGATTGGATGACCAAGGTATGTAAAGAGAGACATAGAGCGACGGAATGGTGAGGGGAGGCTGGGCTAACAAATGGCTGAGGGTGAGGAGGGCGCCTTCCTGGCTTGCGTCACAGCTTCCAAATTCCAATCAATCTCCCAGTGGGCGCAGATGTATTGCGGCTAACTAACCAGCGAGGTCCCCGCGTCCTCCAGACCTTGCCTCCCAACAGCTTGCTTTGAGGGAAGACAAACGATGGAGATGAGCGTGGCTTGACTGAAAGGATGACACCGAAAAGAAAATGGAGCGAGGCATCAACACGGACACGCTGAGGTGCCGGCACCGCACGGGATTTGTTCCGGACTCAAACATCTGTGAGCTTTCAACAAACAGCTCGGGCCTCTGAGGCGTCCAGATGTGTGCTGCAATTAAGCCCGTTGGAGTTCTGCTCGTGACCTTAACTTTGACAAGTGAGGAGGAGCAAATATCAGACAAATACTCCCACAGACTTTGGGCTGACTCCATCTTTTTCACTAAAACGTTCTTGTAGGAATTTAAGGAATTGTGGTATTTTTGTTTTTAAAGCGCATGGAACGCTAACGAGCAGGGATCGGCTCAAACAAAAAGAGTAAAGAGCGCGAATGATCTGATCTCATCTTTCATCATGGCCGCTTTCCCCCGCGGGGAGCTGACATTGTCTGAACTGAGAAAGTTGTCATAACAACCGCTGGGATGGTCTGCCCAGTTGGCTCTTCGTGCCCTTGCATCAAAGTATTCTGCTGGCAAAATCTGTGACCGGTTTACACACCGATATGGAAACGAGACTTTCAATAGGGAAGTCAGTCGAGCTTGAACGTCTCACTTCAACTGACGCCAGGTAACTGACCACTGCATGGTCAAAGACAAACACAATGAACGCCCATCGAATCAATTTAGAACATATTACACAAACGTCCGAGTCGGTTGGCACAAAGTGTTCATGCCTAATGCCTTACTTCATTCCATAACTTACTTTTGCAAAGCTTGCTTGGTTTATAGAGCCGGCCCAAATCGTTCATTAAATTGTGAAACTCCAAACTTAGCACTAGAAAGCAGACACGGCTTCCCTTCAAACGGTTTTTGGCAGTCATACTATATGTGACCTTTGTTTCAGCTTTTCAATTAAAGAAGCCTGTTCCAATTTAGATCTTAGTTCTATTATATTTCGTATATATCCAAGAGTGAACATATAAATAAATAAAACCTGTGACCTGTGCATCCCATACTCAAATCCTCAGAGAACTTTCTCCTCTGCATAATCGTTGCAACTCTTTAATTGGGCAAAAGTCATTTTGATTACCAGATTAATCAATAGAATAATTATGAGAATACCTAATTAAAACGCTACCGATAAAATAATAATGCAGAATCTTTAGGGGAATAAATAAATATGCATGAGACCAGCTGAGGAAATAGCCAGTAGTGCTATTTGTAACTCATTAGCTATCCCACATGTGCCAGTGGCTTGGCCCGGGTAATTACGAGAACTTCACTTGCGTGGCTGGAAATTAGCCGAGCAGATGAAAACACAGCTGGGGCCGCTGTTGGTATAACGGGGCCTTCGGGTCTCCTGCCTCAAGCCTCGTACGGTGATGGCCTTCGTTGCAGCAAGAAGGCACACAAAGGAATCATCACATAAATTAAAGCACGAATGATGGATGGGTAGTTTCAAACAAGAAAGGTCAGAATGTGTCTGAGTGAATAGAAATCAAGAACTACAGGACGTGCGTGCTGTACTCAGGGGGCGGGTGGCAGCGTGTCATCATACCCCGCCAAAATGGTGAGAGTGAAGAAATGGATGACTCCCGAGAGGGCAAAAAGCTTGTTATTCCCGCAGGAGGTGATGCTGTGCATACTCGCACCTGCATGCAAGCACCATCTTTGTTCAAGCTTGTCAGTGTCGTGTCGACAATAAGGCCCTTCATCTTGTCCAAGTCTCACCTCCAGTAGACCATCACGATGAGCAGCATGATGAAGCAGAGCAGGGTCAGAGCGGACACGACCACCAATGGGACAATCCACACCATTCTGCCCATGCCGGGGTGAGGCGTTCGAGTCACGTTGGACAAGGTGGTCCTTTCTGGAAGAAAGGACAAATAGAAATTCAGTACAACTAGGCTTTTTTTTTTTGCTCATATTTTGCATTTTTCCCCCACAGTCGCATATAACATTTTAAATTTTTTCATTTGACTGTTATTTATCCAGGGAAGGCAAATGAGAACAGATTCTCATTTGCAATGCCGACCTGGCAGTACACATCATATTGGGATTAATTAGGTGAATTTCATCATTAGTTGCAGTGTTCCGGTCGTTTGGGGATGAAAATTGAAAAAAAAAATAAAATAAAAAATAGATCAACCAAAAGTACTGCAGAGAACAGAGAATGTGGGTGGTGGTAGATATCGATTGCAGAGAGCGAAGATAGGAGCGGGGTTTTACCACTTGAAAAACAATTGAATATGAATATGAAACATCTCATCCTTCACAATAGCGTCAAGTTTCAGTGACAATACATTCATTCATTTGTTGTAAAATACTGACTTTTTCTTCTGCGCACATTTGGACTTGATTTGCATACTATGACCTCATTTTTCTAACGAATATACTTTTTGCTCTTAATATGACATTTTCTTTCCAGTGTGCAGAGATTCCAGTAGCGACAAACAAATTGAATTGTAAAGCCAGGCATGTTACCTCCAATGCTGCAAGATAAAACACAAAATAAAAAGATCTAAATCAGCTTTCTATTGAAGGAAACTCTTTAAAAATCGCCCCAGAGGAAAACCTTGAGGCACAACAACTCGAGCAGGCGTCTGCCCTCCGGCTTCGGCGTTGTTCCGAAAGCCTACAGTACAGCTTTGTCTTTGACTGAGATAGGCCTTGAATCAAGATGTGTTATGCGAAACCAGTTTGCGAAGCCATCAAGCACGTTCGCGCTTTGTGATCTGAAGAGGAAATTTTGTTTGATGTGAGAAAAGGTGGCCTCACCAGTGTGGATCGAGAATGGCCAAAGACTCTTCCCATCACTGCTGATCTTTGGTGAGAGTGTGGAGCTCTGTGGAATCTGCATCTCCGCGCTGTCGTTTCGCGGCTCCTGAGTGGTGACTGCATTGACGTCTGTGAGATTTTCCTGTGGGGGTGTCAGATGGCCGTCGACCATGCTCGCAGACACTGTGCTGCCTTGGACCGTGGCCTTTTCTTTGGCTGTGGAGGCAGGGGTGGGGAGGACGGACTCTTTGGCCGCAGTGCTGCTGTCTTGTGTTTCCTCATAGGTGGGTGTCGTCTTGTTCTTTTTCTTCTTTTCCGCACCCCTGTCCTCCTGCTCTCCCTCTCCATCGCCCTCGTCCTCCTCCTCCTCCTCACCCTTGGGCGCAGCCTGGTTCTCCTCAGCGGCAGAGTCGGTCTCCGCGGTTTGTGGCACCACCTGCTCCGTGCTGGGCTTTGCGGATGGGGTGGACAAGTGAGGGGGGCTCTGAGTGACTTGAGGTACCTGCGTTGGCCAAACAGAACTGGGCAAAGAAGAGATGACCCCCCCACTGACACCCAAGCCTGCCAGGAAGGTGCTCGTAACCACCGATGCCACCGTGGCTTGGCTGCCGCTAGAGGAGGGGCCCAGGCCTGTTGCCATGGAAACAATGGAGAAGTGGATGCCAGAGGATGTCCACGTAGAGGAACCAGAGCTTATGGGAGCCATGTCAGCTGATGACACTGGAGATACTGTCGGCTGAGAGAGGCAAAGAGTATGTGAGGTTACCTAAAGGATTGACGATTCATGCTGTTAAGACACTTCCACGACCATCTACCGGTGAACTTACCATTCCAGTCTTCACGATACGAGAACCTTCAAATATTCTTGTGGTATTCGCTGGAACACAAGGGAGGGGGGGAAAAAAAAATGCCAATATGTTACGTACAGTAGACTGTACTGAAATAAAAGTAATGACAAATGATCATATAAATATGGAAATAAATGTACATTTCATAGGTAATGTAATTGACCCCCACATTTGAAGGAGAAAGGAAAAAAAAGCAATAGCTCATGCTAATAGTTTTAAGTTAGTGGTGCGCCAATGATTGGCCACCGATTGTGATCGGGGCAATTTGCGCGGTCAAGAATGTGATTAGCTCATGTATGTGCAAATGTGCGACAGACCAAAATATGCATTTATGTGTCAACATTTTTCCCTATTTTCAGATATAGTACCGATCAAACCAGTTACTGAATGTTGATTTGTGCGTTTTCTGTACTGCCAATTTGAAGTAGTGTTTTTGAATCATAAATGGATGGATGAATGGATGGATGGATGTTTTTTTTAAATCAGATTACTCAATCAAAAAAAATTGATTGATCAATCAATTATTAAAATAGTCATTACTGATCAGCTCTAAAATTGAAAAATGTACAGCTAATGCATGTCATCTTAATGGGAATCAGTATCACTCAATCTCATCGATGGTCCTATCGCAATCAACAGGATAAAACCCGATTTTAAATTGTACACGTAAACGATCATCCCAGATGCGTTCAATATAATTTAAATGTTATGATTCAACATTTCCATTCAAAATAAATACAATAAATCAATGCAATAAATACACACACACACACACACACACACACACACACACACACACACACACACACAAAAAAACACTCTCAGTCAGGATTATTACTTCAACGTAACTTTCTTTATGGCTGTACTCCTTTGCTCTTTCGACAGCTTTGACAGCATCTTTTAGCAAATGCAAATAAGTTAATTTGTGAACGGTGAATACGCGCGGGGTTCATTGTACCTCTGAAGAGTAGCGTTTGGCTGAAGTCGCTGCGCAGGTCATGCTGACATACAGCCTGCACTCTGAACAGGTACAGGACATCTGGAGACACATTTGTAATCACTGCTTTCTGCAAGAAAACAAACAAATAAAACAAATTTAAGGCTCATGATCATACTGAAAAGCTGATTGTGTAAATGTGCATCAATACATTTATTGGCCAACATACTGCAGTATCGTATCTGCTCAATTAGTCTAACTTACATGTCTACGACCCGGGAGCTGGAGGCACTTTAAAAAGGCAGCTGCTTGTATTTCATGAAGACAATTCAGATAAAAGGTGTACAGATATAGAAACTGAGAATTGAAATGGTTATTAAGAGCGTATAATAAGAAGGACTGACAGCTGAGGGGGAACTTGAGAGACTGCTCTCAATAAAGCGACAGCATTAATGTATCAGTGGCGTGCGACAACGCTGACAGACGAATTAAGTGTCTGTGCTATAAATGTACAATGACATGAAATTAATTAAAGCGATGAAAGCAATGAGACAATCCATTGAAATCCCTTTAAAAAACAAAAAAAAAAAACAGTCAACAGACAACTCCGAGGTCGTTCTGCAGGCAAAGCTACAAAGAGAGTTCAATGCAAGTTTTGAAAAATAATAAAGTCTGCGTATCAAGAAACTTTGCGTATCAAGAAACTCAGCTCCAGTTTATCTAAGTATTCATTACAATCTGTGCTGTATTGTCTCTTTTCCAAGTTCCGGGAAACCGGTGTCCCATGCCCCCCCCCCCCCCCCCACCAAAAATAAATAAATCAATAAAATGTTTCATTATACATGACATGAACAAAAATGAACTGTTTTGTGGTTACTGCAATCCCATGTGCAGACATAAAAGAATCCAGATGTAATATACTTTTTTTTTTTTTTTTTTACTACAAAAAATTATGAGGAGGTTTGCACTTGAAGTTTCTTGTTTTCACTGTCTGCACTTGGTGGGGCAACAGCCACCAGAGAGCAGATCGTATCTTCTAAACTAGGGGGCAAGTAAAAAAAAAAAAAAAAAAACATTGGTGCTGTCCATGTGTAAAAAAGCAGTGGTGCACTCTGCGAACGAGCTTCGGGGTGGTGGGTGTGGGGGGTCCGCGGGCTTTAAAGGAAGGCGCAGCTGGCTGTTAAATTCACACAAATAGAAGACGGCATGAGCCGAGAGTGGAATATTTAGTGTGTGGAAGAACATGCCTGTAGGTATAAGCCCTGCAGGATAGATTTCTTTGGAGACATGGAGTGTTGGAAAAACAAAAGAACGATCTGAAGTTAAGAGTGAGCATGATGACTGAGGGCTTGAAAATTACACTTAAAGCAGAGACGTACTGAAACAAGACAGATGGAAACTGAGTGGATGGGGTTTATCAATTTGACTTTATTTTTTCAAAAACTTTTCTGTCAATCCTTTTATAAT